CTTGCTATAATATTTTAAAAGTAGATTTAAACTTTATATAAAAATCTCAGTTAAATATTCAATAAAGATAGAAGCATAGCCTCACCATTAACATTAAAAAAAAAAAACTACTTGTTATATTACTTCAAATAAAAGTAAGCTGCTTGTCTAATTATTTAAAGTTTATAATAAAAAAATCTTCTTTCTTCTATAACAAGATCTAATAATATTTTTTTGGCTTTTTTATTTTATTTTTTTTATCTTCTTTTTCTTTTCTACTATCTTTTATTAATTTATTTTTTTTTTATTTGAAGTTTTTTTTTTAAAAGTTCTTTTTTTTATTTAATCTGTTATTTCTATTATTTTTTCCTATTTATTAATCTTTTAAACCTGCTTATTAGAGTTTCTCAAATCTAAATCAAATCAAATACTGGGTTAATTTGAATTTGGTTAAATTAAATATATCTTTAATTTGATTTAATATAATTAAATATTTGAATTAAATATTTAAATTTGATTTAATTTTCAAAAAAATTTAAAATTTTGATTAATAAAGAAAAAACTTAATTTACAAAAAATTTTATTATATTAATTAATTTTAAGCTTTTAAATAAAGTATTCTTTTAAACAAAATACTTTTAGTTTTATAAAATAAAAAGGTTTGATTGTCTTAATAAAATTTTGAATAAATAGTTTATAATTTTGAATGTTTAATTATAAATTTTTAAATTAAATCAAATCAAATTTGACCATATTTGAATTTGATTTGAACTCAAATATTTAATTAAATCAAATTAAATCAAATTAAATTACAAAACTCTACTGCTTATAAAATATATTTTAGGCTGTTATTGTTATTATATTTATAAACTATTATCTTGACCTTATGCTTAAAAGTTATGTTAATTTGTTTTATATTTTTTTAAAATTAGATTTTTAATTAATGCTTTTCTTATTTTTATTTCTTTTACTTTTATTTTTCTAAAAAGTATATATGTTGTATATGAGATCTGAATAAGCGTGAATTTGAAACTGAGCTGCATCAGACTGAAATTTCATTTTGAGATGTGTTAGATTAATTTATTTATTGTGCATCAATTTAAAATTGATAATATAAAATGTATAATATAGTAATATAATAAAAATAAATTTAAGCAGAATATAAATTATACATGTATTTTTAATTTAGATTTCTATTATTGCATATTGTTCTATTATGACATTTACTTCTACACCCAACTTCAGACTTTTTGCAATAGCATTTATTAGTACTATAATTATTTTTACACTTGCAAATACTTCCTATAAAGGCACTACTAGTATTTTGATTTCATGCAACTTCTCTAACAGAAATATTATCTGTTAGAATATTATTTAACTCTGGATATTTTTTCATGTTTAATGGTTCTAATTTACTAGCATAATATAAATTATTTAATATGCCACTTTTGCATCCAAGACAGTATTTGAATGTTTCATTATAATTCAACTTATCTAAAATCTTTCATGAAAGTATAGGTTGATCTGTACCAAATTGGTTAATCTTAGGAATAAGAATTTTTACATACTCTCCAATCTCATATTCTAGTTTATGTTTTGATTTTGCAACTATCACAAAGGTTATTTTTATTGTATAATTCTCTAAATTTTGTTAAGCAAATTTTTATAATACTTGATGACCTGTTACAATTTGATTTGTTAAGTCTTGCAATAGTTGTGAAATATATAAGTGTTGAGAAGAAAAGTCAATCTAAAGAAATATTAATTTATATTATATTTATTGTAATATATAATTTAATAATTAATTATAAATAAAATTACCATTTTTAAATTTGAATTTAAACTTAAAGATTCAATTATGAATATTTCAGTATTATTATTTGAAGTTTTAATTATAGTATCAATATTGTCAATTAAATTGTTTAAACTTGAATCTTGACTTGATTTAATTATAGACACATTATTTATATTATTAATTAAATTATTCAAGTTTAAATCTTGATTTAAACTTACTAAGAACTTAATTATAGATAAAGTATCACCTAAATTATTAATTGATTCTTGAATATTTTTCAAATTAAATTTATTCAGAATTTCATCTTTATAAAAAATATTATTCTTAAATAATTGATCAATCATAGCAGAATTTCTATATAAAACCCTACCAAATATAAGTTTATAAGGTTTTTTATTATGTGCTCTACAAATAGAATTATTTATTATATAAATTATAAATCTTAATTTAATGACCAATCTTGATATTTGTTATTCTTCATTTACTTCCTAATTTAGTTTTAAGCATTTTATCTGCTCATTCAACCAAACTTTGACTTGTAGGATGTCTTGGTCTTCCATGAATAATTTAGATTGTAAGTTACAATTAAATCAATTCAGTAATTATTAAAAAGACAAATTTTCTTCCATTGTCTAATTGAAGAATTAAAAAAGCTCTAAATATTATAAAAACATCAAATAAAAAAGCTGCTACTTCAACTAAACATTTTAAAGTAAATGCATGAGCCCATAAGTATCTTGTAAAGTAATCACAAATATGAGCAATATATTTGAATTCATTATCTTGTTAAAAAGTTATATCAACTAAATCAATCTATTAATTATTAATTTATATTATTATTATATAAATATATAATAAAAATTAATATATTATTAAATAAAATATTTATCTATAAATGTAATATAAACTTTCATTTAATAATTGGTATTCCAGCTAATAGTGAAATTCTTATAAGTCTTGTTGCATATATAGTACATTGTAATACAAAATGTTCAACAAGTTCTTGCTAGCAATAACCCTATTTACTATTAATTTGGTTCCAAGTTTTTTTTTGACCTGCATGTTAAGTAACTATGGCATGTATTTGGCAAAATTCATTATACATGTTTTTATGACCAATGCAGAAAGTTCCATTTTAATTTTTTCATTGTTTTTTATTTGTATCTGAATATGAAATACAATATAAGAATTGGATAAAATTTTTTGTAATTTAAATTTATTTTTGGCCCAGTAATAAAATACAGAGATGTATAATTTAGTATTTATGAGATCAAGAAAAACTTTCTTTATTTGTTATAATTTAACTTGGCTTATCAAGGCCTTTTCTCTCTTGTTTGATGCCAAATTTTCAATATATTTTTTGATTAGATTGTCAAAAGTTTGTTATAAAATAAATAAATACTTTATAGTATTTAATTCAATTAAGAAAAAGTCTAAGAGGTTTCAGTTTTAGTTTATTAGCTTGTTATTACAACATTTATTATGCATATTTTAGTATGATATATAAATAATAAACTAATTTGATGCATTTCAAAATCAAATTTTAATCCTATGCAACTCAATTTTGAACCCATTTCTATTTGAATCTAAGATATGATATATATATAGTATATATAAAAGAACTTAGTTTTTTTTTTTTAATTCTTTTCAAATAGTTATAATAGTTATTTTTTGAATTCTTTTTTAAAGAATTTTTTGTTTTTTGAATAATGTTAAGTGTGATTTATTTTTTTACTTTGTTTTAACATATTTAATATTCTATTGTTGTATATATATTTGGTTTTTTTTATTAAGTTTCTTTAAGATTAAAAGTTTATTTATTATATATTTTATTTTTTTATTAAATATAAAGTACTTTAGTTCAAATGCTAATACTAAGTTACAAACAATATAAAATTTGGATTTTTTTTAATATATTAGACTTGCTAAAACTTATTTATATTTTATTAAAAATCTAAAAAAAATATATTAAAAATTTTCAAATTTTATATTAAAATATATAAATTATAATTTTATTATTTAATTTTAATATTATTTATTATATATTATTTTAAATTGCATTCGTATAGTTTGTTAACAAATATATATATATATATATATATATTTTTTTTGAACTTTGGCGACAATGCCAGTTGGTTTTTATTAGCTTAATTTTTGATATAGTACAAATTTATGGTTAC